GCCACTCCCTTGGCATCACCACTGACTCAAACTAAGGAAAGATCAATCAACAGGGTTTCCAGAGTCTAATACATATCTGTCTGTCAGTGTTTACCAGGGGCAGAATGATACAGTGGAAAGTGTTCTCAGTTCAAATCCTGGCTCTGCAACTTACTAAGTTAAATGACCCTGGACTAATGGCTTAAATTTAGGGAGATCTAGCCAGTTTTGCAAATTTTTAATTTGATATAAATGATATATTTGCAGCCTTCTGCCACTGCTTTCCCCCCACCCCGCCCCTTAACATCACAATTATGAAATTTATGCCTGAGGACTGGTGGAGTACTAGTGCCTTCATTTTCCTATTTTGTCATCCTCCCGTTACATGGATATACCATGATTTTTTAAATTCATTGTTCAACTGATGGACTTTAGGTTTTTCCCACATTTTTGTTCTTACACATAATATTGCTATAAATATTCTTATGTCCATATGCAAACCATCATCTGGGGTATATTTCAAGGAAGGAAATTGTTGGGTCTTGGCCATTGCTGAGTTATATGCAATGTGACTTTATTAGATGTTGACAAGTTGTTGTTCAGAGTAGCTTTATCAACTGAGACTTTCACCAGCTTTGTATGAGAGACGCTTCACATCCTTTCTAGTGTTCCAACATTCATTCAACAAATATTTTTAGTGACCTACTAATCTGTTCTAGGGACAGGGATACAGCAGTGCAAGCTCCTGTTCTCTTGGAGCTTCCATTTGCTCAGCAGGATGCATGGTAACAAATAAATGAATGAATACATATAATAATATAACAGGCCCAGAAGTGATGGGTGCCTTGTTTTCAGAGAATGTAGGTGCCAAGGACTAGCTCTTCTTCCTGAGCTCGTCTTCACCCTTCCTGTATAAGTGAATGCAATAACTCCTTGAGCTCAATGTGACCTAATTCAGAATTGAATTTATAAAAATTTGTAATTACCATAGAAATTAAAAGATGACCATTTTACATTGGTATAATTTACATCAGTTGGAATTTGCAGGGTGCTTTGGGATCCATGCTCTCAATTGGCCTCAGTAGTAGACAACATATAAGGAAGTGGTTAAATGCTCCTATCTCTTCAGTCAAGCTGCTCGGGATCAAATAGTGGTTTCCTGACTTACCATGTGACCTTGAACAAGTTACTGAATCACTCCCAATCTCAAAATCTGTATCAGATGATAGTGACTGACTCATAGAGATGCTTATCATGGTGCCCAGTATATTTTTAGTACTTTATATTTACTAGCAATCAATTAATAATAATTGGATGGGTCAACCATGTGATATTATTTCCATTTTATAGAAGAGGAAACTGAAGTTCAGAGTAGTTGAACAAATTGCCAGTAAGTTCCAGTGCCTCTGAAACCAGGTCTTCTGCCACCAGAGCCAATTCTCCATCACAACACTGTACTTATGAATGTGTCATGTATTCATTCAGTAATTATTGAGCATCTAATATTACCAGTCACTATGCTTGGTGCTAGGTAATTGTGAAATAATCATAATATGACTGATCATCTTTGGGCAACCCTGAAATTATGACTACTTTGAGGCCAGTCTAGCACTTTGTTTCATCCAGCATGGACTGGTAATAAATTTTCAAGATTTTACTGAAGTTTTCATGGAGGACAGAGATGAGCATTTATTACATTAGACTGTCAACTCCTTGAAAGACAAGGATAATGCTTATTAATATATGACTGGCATTCAGCACAATGCCTGGCACATACTCGTTGAATATTTGACAAATGAACATGTCGTACAGCTAAATTTAATCTGTCCTCCTCAGTAACTTCTCACCTGCCCCCATAATGTCTGTTCCTTCCAAAATTGTTGATGAAATAGAGTTGAATTGAAATGTGAAGAATTTCACTTCTCAAGAACCTAAAGAACTAGATATTCCTGTTTTCCAGACACAAGTAGTTTCCATCTGAACCCAAGTATAGTGATGTTTAGGTTAGAAAAAATACAGACAAGTCAAAATGTTGAGTCAGGGAGCCAATAGGTGAGTAAACAATTGCAACAATTAAAGGCACTCATGGAAGGATAAGGAAAGATCTAAAACAGTGCATGCTGAGTGCACAATGAACAGAACTTGTGATAAATACTACTGGAGTTCAAAGCAATAAGAAAGAAAACAAGAAGGTGGCAATGTGTCAATCTGACTAAAAACAACCTATTCTAGGTCTCTTTAGAGATGAACTCTGAGGTACTGTGAGTTGTTTTTATTGTGAGTAGTTTCCTCTGCATAGAAACCTGTCAATGGCTTAATGCTTTGGAGCCAGCCGTGCTCATGGGCCCAGAGTCTGACGGGTCCCAGGAAAGGCACACCTGAAGTTTCTGTGTAGAATGAAGAGATGGAACCCAGGGTCCAGGAGCTCAGATTTCCTCATTTCTAGCTCCCCAGCACTCAGCTTTGGGGACTAACCCTCAGCTGAGAACAGTGACAGAACTTACCCTTCATTTGTATTCCCATCTCTAATGGAAAGAAAAATTATCCACTCTAAGTAACTCCTCACTGATATAAATGTCACAATTCCTTCTCCCTTTACCTCACAGCCTTACCCTTAGTTCCCATCCCCAAAATAAAATTAATTGTCTCCTAGAATTTGACAATGTTTCCTTTTCAAGATTACTAGTTTGCTTCTGATCTAATCCAACCTTGGGGACTAGGAAAATGGGATATTTTGGTGAGAAAGCTCAAGATTTGCGCCTGACAGCTGCCCCAGAACACGGTAACCCTATTTGGCTCAGCATGTTAAACGCTTAAAAGCAAAAGGAAGATTAAATAAAGAAGTGTGTTCCTTATATCTTAGACATCGTGGTATGTTCATTTTCTATCAAGCCACGCTATAAGACCTCCCCTGTGACGTTTGGGTTTGGCTACCCAAATGCATTTATTTCTTCCTGGTGACAACATGAGCTTGGCAAAACATTGAGAACTGGCAGCTGAGAAAAGAAAATGCAGTCTTCCTGCTCACAGAAGAGATTCTAAGTCATCCTTGCTAACACAGCAGAAGCAAAAGGGCTTGTGTATGAATCAGCCATAAATGTTAAGTGGGCTGATGAGGGTTGCAGAGTTCATGAGAATTTCTGATGAAGCCTCACGCAACAGTGCTTATTGGTTATTGTACGTGTGGTGCAGTCTGTAATTTGACTTGTTTGGGTCTTTTTGTTATTATGTGTTATGCTTCACTGAAGCCTGTTGCAAGCTTTCATTTTCCTTTGCTATCAGAATTCCCCTGTTTCGTGAATGAGAGTTGAGGGTTTGTGGCAAGAATGTTAAATATTCTTTCCAACTACACAGACAGAGACAGCTAAGAGACAGTCGTATTTTATTAGCATCAGATTCCAGAAACATGATCCCAATTCTCCTAATTTCTTAGTCATTGATGATTTTGGCACTCACCACAGTCTAACTGAATTCCCTCTGAAGCCTCTAGGAACCAGACCAAAAGCAGCTTCAAGCAAAGATGAGATGAGTATGCAGTCAAGTAAAACATGCCTTTAGGCTTTCAGCACCCTTCTTTCCCAGGCCCCGCACTTCTAGCATTGCCAGGTTTAGCAAAGAAATACATACACAGGCTCCTGTATTTTATCTGACAATTCTATTAAGGCTTTTGGTAGCTCTATTTTAGTCCTCTGCCCTCAGAGCCTATGGGGGTGGGGCAGGAGGGCGGGGGAGGAGGCCGAAATTAGTCATCAAAGCTTAGAGCAATATTTTTCAAGGTTTGTTCCCAGATAAGCTGCATTAGAACAACCTGGGGAACCTGTGAAGAAGACAGATTCCCAAGTCTCAGCCTAGATTCACAGAATCAGAAAGTCCAGAGACAGACCTGGGAATATGCATTTTAAAAATCTCTGCCACCCTGAACAGTATGGTTTAGTTGGCTGGGTGTGGTCCCGCAAATCGAAAGATCTCCAGTTCGATTTCTCGTCAAGCCACACGCTTGGGTTGCAGGTTTGGTCCCAGTAGGGGCACATGCTGAAGGCAACCAATTGATGATACTCTCTCACATCGATGTTTTTCTCCCTCTCTCCCTCCCTTCCCCTCTCTCTTAAAAAAAAGATCTCTGCAAATAATTCTGAGGCAAACTAAGGCATGACAAGTCTTCAGTGACCTCGGTGTCTTTCCCAGTGGCATATACTTACAGCATTTTTCTGCTTGTACAGCATCAGATATTTATGAGGAGCTTATTAAATGTTTGTTTCCTTAATCTCATGTTAAAGAGACTCAGGGCTTCAGGAACAAGAGGAGGCAGATAGCCTTACCCAGTCCCTTGAAGGCAGAAGGCTGCCTCCAATCACCGTCACATACACCTGGCCATCTACAAAGGACCTTATCTGGTCTGCCACCGCTGGCCAGCAGTCAGAAGAGCCCTTGGGCAGTGGCTCCCGCTGTAACATGTACAGGGCTTCCCCCTGCCTTCCCCTGCCGTGGCACAGTGAGTGTGCGGTGTGCCAAGACGCCTGCAATTCCTTACCCCTTCTCTAAATCACCCCTGTACTTCTTTCCCTCGGGATCAAAGAGTTCACTTAAAACCAGAATTTCCCCCCAATATCTGTCTCACTGTCTCTAATTCTGCTCTCTGCATTTTCCAGCATTTAATCTGAAAGTCAGCCACCACCTTTAATGAACAGCTCATTGCATGTGGAGAAGCTTGGGCCAAACAAGAGACCCGGGTAGAATCCTGCAGGTTCGGGATTGGGTTTAGAGCGACTTGCAGGCCCCAAAATGCAGTTTCACCTCCCAAAAGACTACCATTCCCAACATGCAATGCAGCCAGGGTTAGGGAAGGAAAAGAACTACAAGCAGGAGTGGAAATTTTGCATTCAGGTGACCCTTAGGCAAATAAACTATTAGAAGGGCCCCAGAGGATATTTTTTGCAGGAGTGGTCACTCCCTGGATCCAGGCAAGGAAGGGGAGGAGTTGGCGCCGCGTCCCACGCCTCCTCCGGTAAAGTTCAGTCACTACAAGTCTGGCGGCAGGAGTTCGCTGAGCTTTCCCCATGGTTTCGGTGACCAGATCCGTGTTCGGGGAGCTGCCCTCGGGGGCAGGAACCGTGGAGAAGTTCCGGCTGCAGTCAGACCTGCTGAGAGTGGATATCATCTCTTGGGGCTGCACCATTACGGCCCTGGAAGTCAAAGACAGGCAGGGCAGAGCCTCAGATGTGGTGCTCGGCTTTGCCGAGTTGGCAGGTGGGTTGAACCCTGCCCCAGGCTGCGGGCGGGCCTCAGGCCCATCCCGCACACTCCGCTCGCAGGGCAGGAATCGAGGGAAGGGACCGAACTTGGGACCGGCAGGAGTGTTTGGATCCTGCTAACTCACTGGGTTGTGATCCAGGGCTTGGAAAAAAGAGAAAATGAATGGCAACGCCTGTAAGATTTGGCCTCTGGTTACCCATTCAGGCTTTGCCTCGATTGATTAAAAAGTCAGTTGAGGGTAAGATTAAACTCCAGCAACCCTGGAGCGATCTTTGAACTGTCTGATCCTTGTGAGGGCTGGAGAGGAAAAAGCAGGCTAGAGGGGGCGTGGCTCCCAGTCCCTGCCTCGTGGCCTTTCTCTAGAAGGAAAATCAAAGGCGTGCCTCTTCTACTTCCTTTTTCCTTGATCAGATTCTCTCTGAGGCTTGGTTGTCTTAGAAATGCTCAGGGCGTGTAGACAGCTTACCCATTTTGATCTGGGTGGGGTTAATGCTCAGCATGCCCTGGCTACTCAATGGAAGGCAGAAGACCTCATTGTCTAGAAATGAGGTCTCCTTCCAACTAGGGTGGACTTTCATTCTGTTGGAATCCCTTGGCAATTAAGATGACGTATTAATACATACATTTAAAAACTGTTAATTCAATGATCTCTTCCAATGAGACAGACAGCTCCCCCGTCCCCCTTCATAGAGCTGCAGTTTAGCTGGGGACATAGCCATTAGCCAAATAATTGCATAAATGAATAATTACAATTGCAGTTTGATTGCAAAGTGTAGTTGGTGCTCTCTTTGCAGTAGGGGTGCAACTAGACAGAAAATGAGGTTTGAAGTAAGGTTGGCAAAGGGACAGTGTTGAGAATTAAGGTCCTCAGCTCAGTGGTAGAGGCATGGACAAAATCTACTTAGAGAGGAATTTTGAGGTTTTCCTTTAGGTGTGTCTTTCTGTCTGTTTGGCTCTTTAGATCTGTAGCATGGCTCATGGTTGGAGGCAGAAAACTCTTGAGAGTATTGGTTTTTCCTTAGGAGACTGAAATTTGCTCCCCATATCCTAAGTATTATATTCCTGAAGGTTCTATTCCTTGCCCTTTGGTTGTGTTTATCTGCCTTGGAGCTTCCACAGCTTGCCTTAGAGAGGGGGTAGGTAATCTTCAGCAGAATTTCTTTGGTAACTTCAGCAAATCTTTTCAGGAGACTCACGGGTGGGAAGGTGTAGGGATATGTGGAAAATCAGCGCCATGTCCCCTTGAATTTCTGAGGGTGGGGGTTCACATCTGTCTTCAAAGTCAGAAGGCAAGAGGGTTGACAAATGACAAAAGAGGATTCTTTAGAATCACTTTGCTGAACCACCTCTTTCTGTTAGTAGTGTAACTATTTTCTAGGCTGAAACAGAGCCATGAAGAGATTACTTGACTGGTGCAAAATTGCCTATGGAGTCAAAGAATTGGGTATTTGGCCTCCAACTGCAGAACCAGGAAAGAATTGGAGACCATACACTAAGAGCACCTGCTTGTATCATCTCATTCCCACCTCTGCCTTATCACCATTCAGGAGGTAACCACCCTCCCCCTATACTCACACACTCAATTCATACCTTTTTTAGTTCTGATGTGAGTCCCATGGATCTTAAAGAACAAGGTGTCTTTCTGGAATTCATACGAAATGTGTCTTTCGGTGACATGGCACCTGGGAAGCACCAGGCATAGAAGTGCCAACATTGTGAGGGTATTTATGCAGTTGTCTCTATGAGTCTGACTCTTGTGGGAGTCTGGGTGAGAGAAAATACTATCCTCGAATGCTCTTAAAGGGGAGGAAAAAACACAGATCCCCTGACTTGAAGTGTATTGCCCTACATGTTATTAACATCTGCTGAGAAAGTTAAAGAGTATTTTCTTAACCAGGGTGTATCATAGGCCTCACAAAAAACAAGAGACATTTTCATTCCTATGCTATAACTTAGATAATTTATTTATTTTAAAAGAAAATGAGCGGTTTTGAAGGGAGAAGTTAGGGGGAAAATCCCTCAGACTATAAAGTAATAGTTTCTAATGTATTCAGCCTTCTTCAGGGTTATTGCCGGTGACAACTTGTTCCCTTTTTAAGGCCCTGTCCTTCGGGTTTTTGTAGATTCTTTTAGTACTGCCAAAAATAAAGAAGCCTTTATAACAGGAAGCGTAATTGTCTCAATCAGTATACAGTCATGGCTGCATAACAATGTTTTGGTCAAGTTCAGACCACACGTACTGCAGTAGCATACCAACCATCTAGCCTAGATGCGTTGTAGGCTAGACCATCTAGGCTTGTGTAAGTGTGCTCTATGATGCTTGCACAATGACAGTCTACCAATGTGTTCCCACTGTGAAGCTGCACGTAACAGTGGTATGAAATGGCTCTCTGCTATTTTGATCAATTCTAGTGTGTTAAAACCCATGTTAAGAAATTGGCAACAGTGGTTGTCCTTAAGCAAAGACACTGGGTAGCTGTGGTACAAGGCTAAGAAGGAGACTTAATATTCACTATATGATCTTGAATGATGTCTGAGTATGTAGATGTTATATAAACAAACTGAGGCAAACAACTTAAAGCAATAAGATGTGACAGAGTAAGAAGTTACCTTCATTGCCCTGTCCCCAAAAATGTTTTGAGCTATGGGAAAAGGCTAAGCATAGATAATTCCATGAGACATGGTCCTTTTGTAACTGCCGGCTTAGATGTGAACTATTTCCAATTTCCCAGATAGATTATATAAACTGCTTGGATGATAGCCATGACCTGAGGCCAGAATGGTTCGATTTCTTCCTGGGAAAAGGAGATCTTTCTTCTGTAGAATTCTAAAGAGGTAGATTATATGATCTTTTAGTTACAGGCTGGGAAAAATCAGCCATGCCTCCTGAGAGTTTTTCTCCTATTTTTTTGTATGTAAAATATTTTTAAATGTTTTTCATCTGCATGACCCACCTGCAGTTCTTATGACTTTTTTCAAAACCTGTGATGAGAATATTTGCTTACAAGCCACAAGTACAAACAGCCTACTCACGCAATCAATGCAACTCCTTCCCTTCTGCCTTCCTCCCGAGTTACCACCAGACACCCAGCTATTACTGCCAAGAGAGCCATTATGGAAGATTACAAAAAATAAAACTTAGTGCTCTTAGGAAACCTGAGTTCATTAGAGGGAGTGCCCCTGAGGAAAAGGGACAAGAGTAGAGGCTGCAGTTTAATATTATAGATGCCCAACAACGCCCTTATAGGAACATTGAGGATTCTTAGTTTAAATCTGCTCTGTCCCTTAAAGCAATGTGACCTTGAGCAAGTTATTTAACCTCTTCAGACCTATTTCATCACTTAATGCAGGTGGATAATTATGATTCAATGTGCTATCAGCTGTGATAGTGTCTAATTATGGTGAATAATTAATTTTTATCTTCTTTCCTTCCTTTGCCCCCCCAAATATTTTCCCTCACACTACTTGAACTTTTTATTTCACTTTGTTAGCACTGAAAAAAAAATGTCATGGAGATTCATTGAGGACAACCAGCAGCCATTTAAAAATGTATAAAATATTTGGGATGCTTAAAGTGCTTGTCAATTGAAGGAATGTTTGTTTTCCTCAAAAAGCCAAAGAAAAGTGGATCAGGGTGTGGAGGTTTTGGCTGAGACAAGTGAGCAATTTTATTTGAGACTTTAGGGCACTCTGGCTAAGGTTTGGCTATCTGAGGTGGATGTGGTAGCTGGGATCCTTGAGATGTTAGAGGAATGGAAAGGACCATACCCATGATTAAGCATTTATGCCTATGTTCTGGCTAGTCCCTTACTCAAAAAAATAAATAAATAAAGGACAATCTTTTCCTTTCTTTGATCTTACGTCAGCATTTGATTTGATTAAATTATCATTCCTGGCTTGACCTAGAAACTCCTTCTTTTTTTTTTTTTTTTTTTCATAAAAAGCAGTACTTTCTGCATTTCAAACAAGCTCTTTAGTCATGAATTTAGTCAAATTCATAATTTGAGGACTGTCACATTTTGTAATTCTGATTTGATATAAAAGTTTAGTGACATACGAAGATAGTATAAAATCCAAAATCCATTTGTTCTAAAGAGTTTTCCAGCCCTGGCTGGTGTGGCTCAGTGGATTGAGCACTGGCCTGCAAACTGAAAGGTTGCTAGTTTGATTCCCAGTCAGGGCACGTGCCTGGGTTGCAGTCCAGCCCAGTTGGGAATGTGCAAGAGGCAACCAATTGATGTTTCTTTTGCACATTGATGTTTCTCTCCCTCTCTTTCTTCCTTCTTTCTCTTCTCTCTAAAAATAAATAAAAATAAAAATCTTTTTTTTTTTAAAGAGTTTTCCAGAGACAGTTGGGAACAGTGGTTTCTGCTGTTACAGTTTAATCCTTAAAAAGGCTTCATCTAAATCAAGGACCAAGTGCTTCTTACCTCCATGAGCTTATTATTAACCATTTCCAGAACACAGTCTCTTCTGAGGCAATTCTTGCAAGCCCCTGACGCAGCAACCTTGATGTTGGATTTGTCAATGTTGCTAAGCTGTGACTGACAGAGAAAGGGCTCAGTGTACACTTGTTGAATGAGTCATTGTAGGAGTCAAAAATAGATAGAGCAAAACAAGTTTGGAACAGAAATTCTGCTTTCTTCACATTTTTGAACTCCTGGAAAACAAATGAATGTTCCACATTATGTATCATGAGGGAAGTGCAAATTAAAACAAGACCTATTAGAATGGCCTAAGTTCAGAACACTAACACCACCAAATGCTGACGAGGATGTGGAACAACAGAAGTGCTCATTCACTGCTGGTGGGAATGCAAAATGGCACAGCCACTTTGGGAGACATTTTAGTAGTTTCTTACAAAACTAAACATACACTAACCACATGATCCAGCAATCATGCTCCTTAGTAGTTACTCAAAGGGGTTAGGAACTTATGCCCACACAAAAACCTGCATATGGATGTTTATAGTACCTTATTCATAATTGCCAACCCTTGGATGTAATCAAGATGTCCTTTAGTAGGTGAATGGATCAATAAACTATGATACATCCAGACAATAGAATATTATCCAGTGCTAAGAAGAAATGAGCTGTCAAGCCATGAAAAAACAGGGAGGACTCTGAAATGCGTATTACTAAGTGAAAGAAGCCCATCTGAAAAGGCTAGGTACTGTATGATTCCAACTACAGGACTTTCGGGAAAAGGCAAAATTATGGAGGCAATAAAAAGACCAGTGGTTGCCAGGGACCCAAGGGATGGGCGAGGATGAATAGGCAGCACACAGAGATTTTTAGAGCAGTGAAAATACTCTGTATGATATATCGGAGGATACATGTCATTCTACATTTGTCCAAACCCATAAAATGTACAACACCAAGAGTGAACCCTAATGCAAACTATGGACTTTAGGCGATGATGATGTGTCAATGTAGATTCATCCATTATAATAAATGTACCACTCTCGTGGGGATGTTGATAATGGGGGAGGCTGTACTTGTGTAGGAGCAGAGTGTATTTGAGAAATCGCTGTACTTTCTGCTCAACTTTTCCGTGAACCTAAAACTGCTCTCAAAAAAAAATAGTCTATTAAAAACCAAAAACAAAGATGAAGCAAAACCAAGAAAAGATTATTTGGCCCCTTGGGGTTCCTTTGGTTACGCAGTCTAAGGGGTTTTAAAGCTACAGCTTCAGAAAGAGAAAAGAGAGTGGGGAGAGGTGGGAATTGCTAGGGGACTCTGCCTGGTTAGTACTAGGAGACGGTAGTAAGGTCAACTGATCAGAAAGCCTCGTGCTTCCCAGGTAATGTCATGCTCAAGAACATTTATGGAGGAGCCAGGCTGTCTGCATTCAAATCCTGGTTCTGTCATAACTAGCTGAGTGGGGGCAGGTTATTTAACCTTTCTCTTCTCAGTTTCCACACCTATAAAATGAGGGCACTAATCATGTCTAACTTATAGAAGCATGCTCTACATTTTACTCATTTGAGGATGAAATGAGTAAAATGTAGAGCACTTAGAAAGTGGCTGAGACTTTGAAAGCACACACTGTTAGCCGTTACAATAGTCTATGGGCAGAAGTCTGAGGACCTGCAGGTTAACAAAGAAGTGAACCAGGAAAGACCTGGAAGAGAAGATTAATGTTTCACTTAGGCCCAGCCAGTTGAGTAATGGGAACCTGTGACCTGTAACTGGCCTAATCGGCTCAGGACCTATATCCTAAGCCCCTTCAGCCGTGGTAAAAATGATTCATAGGCTTAAATTGCATACTCTTTTGATCCACAGTAGATGTGATAGATACACAGCAGGACAGGAAAGGGGAATGGAATTGCGAGGGCAACTGAGTGAAAAATAGAACAGAAAGTAATCCTGGTGACAATACAAAAAACAAACTAACTCCAAACTTTAATCTCCGCCAATGTAATCTAAACTAAAAGATTATAGCATAGAGGAATTTAAAGAGAAAGAAAGTACTGTAATGCCCAGGGACAAAGTTGTAAATACAGGACACTAGCTATATTTCTTTTAAAACCCTCATAGAAAGCTGACAACAGTTTATGCTTATGAATATGCCATGTAGCCATCAGAAGGAATATGGGCCCTGACCAGTTTGGCTCAGTTGGTTTGGCGTCTTCCCACAAAGGAAAAGGTCACTGATTCAATTCTTGGTCAGGGCCTGTGCCTCAGTTGCGGGCCTGGTCCCCAGTTGGGGCGTGTGCAAGAGGCAACCATTCGATGTTTCTCTCACACATCAATGTTTCTCTTCCTGTCTTTCTCTCTCCCTTCCTCTCTAAAAATAAGTAAATAAAATCTCTTTTTAAAAAAATAAATATGGTTGGTGGATATGTGTAGTCACATGGAAAGATCTTAAGACATTTGATAACTGAAAACGTTGCAAAACATGCAGAGGTGTCCAACCCACAGCCCGCAGGCCACATGTGGCCCAGGATGGCTATGAATGCAGCCCAACACAAAATCGTAAATTTACTTAAAACATTATGAGATTTTTTTGTGATTACGTGTTGCAGTGTATTGAATGTGTGGCCCAGGGATGCCAAAAGTTTGGACTACCCTGGGTATAATTCTCTTTGTATACATATACAGAATCTGTGTTTGGATATTTGTATGTGCTTATATGTAGCTGATTTTTTAAAAAGTAAGTGTGTATGCCTAACTGTTAGCAGTGGCTACCACTGGGAAGGAGAGGGATCAAGAGGCAGAAGAGAGTTTTCACATTTTCCTCTTCATTAAGGTTGCCAGATTTAGCAAATAAAAATATAGGATGCCCAATTAAATATGAATTTCAGATAAGTAATGAATATTTTAAAATGGGATATGTGCCACGTATAACAATAACATGGGCATATTTATACTAAAGTAGTGTTCATTGTTTATCTGAAATTCAGATTGAACTGGGCATCCTATATTTCCTCTGGCAAGCCTACTCTATATACTTATGTATTAGTTACCACCCTGTAAAAACATTTTTTTTTAATTTACCAATTGATTTTAGAGAGAGAGAAACATCAATTTATTGTTCCACTTATTTATGCATTCATTGGTTGCTACTTGTGTGCGCCCTGACCAGGGATCAAACCCGCAGCCTTGGAGTATCTGTATGATACTGCAACCAACTGAGCTACCCAACCAGGGCTATTTAACACTCTTTAAAGGGCATTTTAAGGTACTAACTGTATGATTTTTTCAATGAAACAGAAAAAAGATGAGATTAGTTTCTTCTCCAGACTACATGAAAATTTAATTTTTAGTTAAATTAATTGGCCTAGGGGGGAAAAAAAGCAAATTACAAAGCAGCATGTATACTAAGACCCCAGTTCAATAAAAAGAAGAAGTGCACATGTAGGCGTATGCTAGAAGACAGAAGGGTATATTTAAGAATAGTAACAGTGGTTCTCTCTGGTGATGACATTAGGATGATTTAAATTTCTTCTTTGTTCTTTGCAAAGTTCTCTAAAAATGTTTACTACTTTTGGGAAGGGAGAAGTCCATGTATAGAGAACACCATGTTTCTATGCTTCCACAAGGATGTGCTCCCAGGAGAAAGTGGTGCATAGCTGTGTGAGCCTCACCTTAAGTTTGAAGTGTTAAAAACCCCTGTCATGCCATGTCTTTGCAGGCTACCTCCAAAAGCAGCCTTACTTTGGAGCAGTGGTGGGCCGGGTGGCCAACCGAATTGCCAAAGGAACATTCACGTTAGACGGGAAGGAGTATAAGCTGGCCATTAACAATGGGCCCAACAGTCTGCATGGAGGCCTCAGAGGGTTTGATAAGGTGAGTGGGAGATTGGGCTGAGTCCTTACGGCACACTTCACGAAGCGCCTGTGAGCATACTTTCTGTTTACCAGGCGCAATCCTAGGCCCTGGAGCAAATGAATGGAAACGTGGGTCAGGAAAGAGGCTGCTCCCATGGTTCACAGGAGCGGGTGCGCTGGCCCTGTTCCAGGACCCAACCTTGTCTAGCTCCCCTGACTGTAACGGGCAGCAGAGCCCCGAATGAAAGGAAGGGCAATGGCCTTTGACTTAGGAAAGAAAAGGAAGGACTTTCTCATAATGTTGTGATCAGGGAGCTGACCTTAGGCACGATGGGAAAGTGGATTGAGAATAATACCTAACCACGTACTTCCTAAACAAGGTATTTGCATATATTCTCTCTCACCCTGTATTAACACCAGAGGAGACATCTGAGGGTCTGGAAGGCCACACGCTCCTAAGTCAGGCTGCCTGGCCACAAGCCCTCATTCTTGCACTTCATGTGCTGCTGTCCACCACGGCCACCGCTGGGAGGTGCCTCCAATCCAACAACCCCCGCCCCCTGTGTCTGCCAGTAAGCCCTGCTGCATTCAGGCCTACCCTCCTGTGGCTCAGCGTTACCTCATATGCTCCCCAGTTCCCCCTTTCCACATTAGAACTCCCATTCCCCAAATGAATCCCGGGAAAAACAAGGTTAGGAAAGCAAATTGATCAAGCGGCTTCTCCCGGAGGTGGGAATGCTTGGCCTCCTGCTTCCTGGCCAGGTGAGAGTCTGCTTGTTAACCCCAAGTGGTTCTCTTAGCTAGTCTAATTTCAGGCTGTGACAGAGATAATTTCAGTAGTTAACTCGCCTTTCAGTTATAGCACCCAGGTTATTTCCTGGAGAAGACAAGAACATGTACGGGATTAGGATCACAATTTCTTCTCTCCTGCCTCTGACCACCACCTATATACTTCAGAAGGAAGCTGGTCACTCGCTGCTTCCTCTGTCCCACTAGCTTCCTGTCTGTGGCCTAGAACCATGCTGCCCTATCAGTTCCCTTTTGCTGAACGTTGAGACTCCTCACGCCAGGGAGGCACTAAGCCAGAGGGGTCTCTGGAATATGCCAGGTCCGTGGGCAAACCCCAACCAGAGGAAGTTAGACCCAGCTCTGCTTGGACACGGATTTTTAGAGGAGCCTCAGAGCAACCCCTTGTTCCAGCCTGTTGTCTTTCCTTCTATTCTCCTGTTGTGTTTTCTGTGGTGTCGTTTAACATGTTTGCCCTGTGTGAACATAACAAATAGTGAGTATACGTATACATATCCTTGAATGCATTGTGCCTGATGAGCCCCTTTTATGAACCAAGACACATTATAGGGTGAAGGTTTTTGAGGCTCACAGTATGGAGAGGGAGTGGGACCCTTCCATAAACAGCTGTTATAGGTGGGCCACAACAAACCCACAGGGGGTGTGATAGAGCAACTGGATATAGACAAGTTAATAGCAACTGGGGAGGTGGCATTTGAACTGCCCTTGAAGAAAGGATAGCATTTCATTCTCTGTGGTGCTGTTGGAGAGAATGACTGTGCAACAGCCTGGAGAGAAGGGGAAAAAGACTTGGAACATTTTTATGGAGCCACTGAAAGTTTTTGAACAGTAGGTTTTTATGTAGTGCCATGAGCAGTGTCATATGACACTTTCTGTTGTGTCACTTACTTATGCCTTCATTCGTTAATTCTTGTCTATGCTCTGACCAGGGATCGAACCCACAATCTTGACACACTGAGACAACGCTCTAACCAACTGAACTATTTCTCCAGGGCCAACACATTTTTTAAAGATGAAATTTGAATAACCTGACAGGATTCGAAATGGTATAAGTAGGCCTAAAGGTGCAAATTATGGAATTTTCTGGAAATTTCAAAACTACAGGGTCAGGGAAATCCTTCCATGAATAGAAATTATACTCCTCACAGTACTGTACTTATCTGATAATATTGGTTTATACAAAAATCTTTCCATTGTGTCCTCTCTCTAAAGGAGAAAAACTGGGTAGTAAGCTAAGAACATTTTATTTCAAATATTTTATTCCTAAAATTTTCCATTTGAGAGATTCTTTTTTTCTTTCTTTGATCATATATATAACAGGCTTTATATGTTAAGTGTCTTGAAAAGTCAACATTTCTGGGAGGTAATTAGGGTGTAAAATTAATTTTTTACTAAGGTCAGTGAATACGGTTCAAATACCAGCTGCTTTCACCATGGGTGGAGGCTGAGACCTTCGTTCCCGCTGGGCTCCCCTGCCTGGCAAATGCGACATCACTGAGAGATCCAGCCAGGAGCATGTGGGCAGAGCCTGGGCTCATGGACCATTCCTTAGGCCCAAGGGGTTGTTTCCCTTCAAGTCTATTAGGGATGGCAGTGCTTGGCCACACCTCATGGGGATTTAAACAAAACATTCACTGAAACCAAGGTGTGTTATAATGTAGACTACCAGACCTGAATTTGAATCCTAGATCTGTCACTAATTACACGTATGACCTGATTTTTCCCCCCCTTTAAACAGTGGACACGAAGTGGTAAATGTTTCTACTCCACTCCCCTGGGATGTGGGAGGCAGAAGTGAGCAAGTTAACTCCACTGAACTCTGTTTGTTCATCTGTAAAATGGGGGTAATGATATTACTTGGAACCATGTGAAACTGCCACCATTCAACTATTTGGACCTGCAAAGATTACTATTATTATTATTGTTAGGTTCCACCAAATCCTTACCTTGCGAAATGACTTGTGTAAAGCGCCATGCCAGTGGCTGGTGAGCACTCAACAAATGGCAGTCTCACATCTGCCAAAGACCCCTTTATCCCAGGGCTCCCCAAAGGGACTGAGCGGTCTCTGGCCACCTCATCCTCTAACAATGTCAAGTATGGGAACAGGATCAGACCACTGGGTTCAAATGCACTGTCTTACTGGCTGTGCGGCCTGGGACAGCAGCTTATCTTTTCTGAGCCTCAGCTCTGTCATCCCTAAATGAGAACAATGGCACCTACGGTAAGTCAGCTCTGAGACAGATCAGATAGTGTCTGCGAAGTTTCCAGACGAGGGCCTTGGCTCATAATGAGCACTCAGTAAATGTTGGTTTTCCCCTTCCTGTAAGTGTCACTGGGGGGCCTCTAAGGCAAACTTGGGAGGAAACACTGTGTTAATCCAAGATTCCTGTATCTATTTTCAAAAGCAAAAAACTCTTTCAGAAAACTCTTCTTCATAGTTTTCTTTCCACTCTTAGAACCATATTTTCCTGAATGAGAAGAAACTTTTGAGATCATTTTTCAACCCCTTTATTTTATGGACTGGATTAATGACCAAAGTCACATAGTGAGCTGGGACCAAGCTTGGCCCCCAAATCAGCACTCCTGACTTGTGGCCTAGAACTTTTCCTAATGGAACATGTGCCCAGGGACTATAGAGATCCTCATGGTGTTTGTTTATAAATATTTGTAAATAGTACCCCTGGAGGGAGGGGCTGATTTATGAAGGTTATTTTTAATGCTATTGGCAGATAGCAGATACTGCTATATTCCTACACTTAGAATAGGGTGCTGAGATTTCAAAAAAATAAAAGTTTCAAAGTAGGGGGAGAAAATATTGTAGTCACATACATATAAATTGATGGGAAAAGAGGATAGGAAGGGTGAGTAGATAAAGAGAAAAAAAATTTTTCTCTCAGATCAAATTCTGTATAAGACAGAATTTTAGAATAATTAAAATGTAGGCTATTATTTGAAACCTTATTGATTGTATCATCATTTCCCTTCCTGGAATCAGTTGTCTTTAATTTTGAAAAATGGCATTGAGCTGGGGGTTGGAGTGACTAAACAGCTTTGAACACACTTTTTTTTCTAGGTCCTCTGGACCCCTCAGGTGCTGCCAAATGGCGTCCAGTTCTCACGGGTCAGTCCAGATGGTGAGGAAGATTATCCAGGGGAGCTAAAAGTCTGGGTAACCTACACCCTGGATGGTGGGGAGCTCGTGGTCAACTATCGAGCTCAGGCCAGTCAGACCACACCAGTCAACCTGACCAACCATTCTTACTTCAACCTGGCGGGCCAGGTAAGTGACCTTGCCTCTACTCTCCTGCAGTGGTGCCACATGTAACCTGTGTCCTCTCTCCTGCCATGTGCTTTGTGGAATGACCTGGGGGGGTGGCTGGAGAGACCAACCCAGCAAGAAACTACTCTCGATGATGAAAAATGCCCAGCAAAGCATCTGGCTCATAGCAGGTGCTCAATAAATGGAAGTTGTAGAGAAAGATAGGATGAGTATATCGTACCGCCAAGAGAATTCTCTGTTTCCCATATGCTCAGACAACTAAGAGCTATTTTAAGAATTTCCTTTCGCCCCGGCTGGTGTGGCTTAGTGGGTTGGGGCATCATCCCATAACAAAAAGGATGCTGGTTCAATTCCTGGTCAGGGCACATGCCCAGGTTGCAGGCTCAATCCTCAGCTGGGGCATGTGCAGGAAACAGCCGATCAGTGTTTCAACTTCTCTCTCTCCCCTCCCCGCTCTCTCTCTAATGAACTTTAGAAAAATAAACTTTAAAAAAATAAAGAATTCCCTTTCATCCAGTAATGTACTTATATTTGCTCACCCTACTTCACTCCTACTCCCCGCAAATTGTTTCCAAGTGAAGTGCTTTCCACCCTTCGACCTTTGGAAATGTGCTCGGCCCAACCTCTTTAGATATGTTGCCAATATTTGTAGGTTCCTGCTGTGCAGCTCCCCCTAAGTATGGTGTAGAGACATTGATAACCCCTCTTAGATAACCTCTGAACTACCTCATTCCTTCCTAACGCTAATATTTTAGCTTGTTGAAGAGGTTATTGCATGAGGCAGAATAAAAAAAGCTTAGCTGAACTCTGTAGATTATATCTATTACTTCCTGTTCATGTAAAGCACTCATCATTTTCTACTGTTCTTGAATCACTTTGGTATATTTTTCTACCACAAGATGATGTTCACAGCCTACTAGTAATATCTTGTATTTTTGCACCCTTTTAAGAGTTTGCTGATGATCTGCTGATTTTTTTTCCTAGGATCTTTTCAAATAGCATGAGTTGATTGGTTCTTATATAATTTCCAAAGTTCTCCCTTTAAAAATAAGAAAGATGCTTCTTCATTTGCTTGTTCCTTATCTTCAGGAACTTCCTCTGTCCTTCTTGAGATCTTAAAGACAAACCAAAACACACACAAAAAAGGCAAAGCGCCCAGCCGTAAGAGGCTCTGCAATAATGTATATAAAGACCCTACTTTTTAAAATAACTTCAAGGAGAAACTTGACAAAAACAGTACAAAATATTAATGGTTTTATGTAGGTAACAGATCATGGTGACATTACTATTTTCCACATTTTTATATATTTAGGACATCCTGTTTTATAATCAGGGTGGTCTAAAGGAAGAGATTCAGAAATAGAAAGAAATTATGTGAGAAGGATTACATCTGCCAGTGTGTTCCCGTGGAGGAGACTTGATGGCAATGTACGCTTTGCTAATGCTCTTTCCATTTGCCTGGCCGCAGAATCCTCCTGACCAGCATTTTTACGTCCTTCCAATCCTACAGGGACTTGAAGTAGCAGGTATTTCTGAATCTCTTTCCAGAGACTGAGTATTTTCCCAGATCACAAAGCCTGACCAGGAGGGTGGCCAGCGTCATCTCCCTCCTGTACACTGTCTTAGTAAGTGCAGGTGGAATCCGCAGCCACTAGCCACAGGGTTGAGGAGGGTCAGGTGTTGTCAGCCTTCAGGGGCGCTCAGGTAAGAGTGGGTGGTCAGTCACCAGGACTGGGGGCACGGGGCCTCTATATTTTCCGAACATCTCTTGCCCTACCCATGGACACATTATCATGTATCTTAAACCCTCCCCAAGGAAGTAGGTCAAACCTTGGTGTTTAAGGTAGTCAGCTCAACTTATATGTTCTCTTCTTTTGTTTGGTTTTTAAATTTAATAGTAGTATTTTTGTTCTACTTGGGGCCAGGCTTTGAGTTATAAGGGAGAACTATGTTTTTCGAAGAGTGGCAAAGTTATGAGGGTTGCAGATTGGTTGTTTTCTCTCTCTCTCTCATCTATTTTTTTGTTTTTTGTCTTGGCTATACCTACTTTTGCCTAACACAAAACAGGGAGAACATGTTTCTTATTGAAACTTTATCTGGGGAGCTATGAAAGCAGGCTGGGGGGGACGTGAGATGAAAAGCAATCACTGCGATTCCAGTATGACTGGGTGGGTATGTCATCAAGGACCCAGGTTCTCCGATCTTACCATTCTGCTTCTTCAGCGTTTTGGCCTTTCTTCCCTTATGGTAACAAAATGGTTGCCTCAGCTCCAGAAATTCATACAGTCACTTCTGGAGACAAAAAAAGGACCTATTCCTTTTTTTCATATCTCTAATGTTCTGTTTTTTATTATAAATTTTTTAGATTTTATTTATTTTTAGAGAGAGAGGAAGGGAGGGAGTAAGAGAGGGAGGGAAACATCTATGTGGGAGAGAAACATCTATGCGAGAGAGAAACATTGATGGTTGCCTCTTGCGTGTGCCCTGACCAGGAACTGAACTGGCAGCTTTTTGCTTTGTGGGATGACACCCAACCAACTGAGCCACAATGGTCAGGGCACTAATGTTCCTTTTTTCCGAACAAGCAAAACTTTTTCCCAGAAGCTCCCCACCAGACTTTCCCTAACATTTGTTGGCCAGAAGTATATCCTATGCCCTATCTAACCCAATCACCAGCAAGGGAATTAGACCACCATGACTGGCTTGGATCAATCAAGCTTTGCCCTCTGGGTCCAGGGTCGGGGTTCTTTCTCAGAATATCTAGTCTAGCATAGGATAAATCAACAGGTCAACCTTCTTCCAGGGGAAAGGGAGGGTGCTGGTAAAGGCGTTGCTATGAATTGGGTAGTAACCAATAGTGTCTGTTATGTCCTGCTAGAGGTGGTTCGGAGCTGAGTTAAGGCAGCAGTAGTGGCAATGCACCACAAAAAGGCTTTGAAAGCCCCATGCAGGCCACAGTGAGCTCTGTAAATGGTTAATGTTACAGACTAGTAACAGCCAAGCCAAGTTTCCCAAAACAAATACTGAACTGAGAGATGGACCTAAGTTCTGTTTGTGAATCAGCATTCTTTGCCAAGTTTTCATCAGCCTAGAAAGGAGTGAATCCAACAGTAATATTCCACTGCAGTAGGTCACTGCATTATTCCAGGTCAGAGAGTCATGAAATGAGGCATGCTTCCCTTTAATGAAGGAATGTTAGTGCTGCTTAGTGACCCACGAAGAGACTGGGTGCCTAGTCATTGTTTTTTTCCTTCTCCTCCCAGGCTTCTTCCTTCAGACTCATCAGCTTATCTGGGCTGTGATTTTCATATTGAATCATTTTTATTCCTGCTGTAGTACTAAAAGACAAACAAACAGATAAAGGAAATTCCTAAACAGCTTTATTTATAATAGTAAAAAAAAAACCTGGAACAGCCCAAAAGTCCATCCGCAGGAGAATGGGTGAACAAGCTGTGATACGTTCATACAATAGAACGCAACTCAAACTTGAACTGAGGGGCGAATAGATAGAGCCAAGGAAGCAACCTCAAATTCTCTTCTCTCATCAGAGGGAAGATGCCCCTCAGTTCCAGAGGCCTCTTTGGGGCTGTGAGCACCCCTGAGGCATGAGAGAGTGACAGCATGGAGAGCCACACAAGGAGAGGACCCCTCCAGTCGAGGGCGGCCCTAGGCAGGGCTGTAGGCCCCTCCCATTTTGGACCTGCCTTCCCAGGTGAGAACAGGGACCAAACAGGAGGCGCAGATATAGCGAAAGCAGAGAGGGGGCCTCTGCCCTGGCCTTGCCGGCCCCTTGTTCCTGCCCCTGCCCAGCAGGTACCCGCTGGGAGAATGCAAGAGATGTTCTTCAGAAACGGACCTTAGCAGTGCAGTTAAAACATTGTCTGTCTTATCTAGACAGACATTCACAAGATCTCTAAAATCTTGGCCTTTCTCCTTAGGACAACTTCATTTAATTATGTGGACCGGAGTCTTTCTGTCCGTGGGCGCCTGTTTTCCGAGAACCGCAGTGCTCTCTGTCTGCTGACTTCTCAGGGACCCAGCAGAACCTCCAGTGTAGCTTAGCGCAGCGTTCTCAGTCTTGGTGCCATTCACATTTTGGGCCAGATGATTCCTTATTGCAGGGGTCCGGAGACTGTTCTGTGCACTGTAAGGTGTTTAGTAGGATCCTTGGTTTCTTCCCACCAGATGCCATTAGCATTACCACCCCGAGTCATGACAATCAAAAATATCTCCAGGCGTTGTCAAATTTTTTCCCAGTGGGGCAAAATCGTCCGCAGTTGAGAACTGCTGGTTTAACTTATTTTTGACTATTCGCTAAATAAAAGCCCCATCTGGTTTCCCTTTCATATCTTCTGCACGAAGCTTTAAAATAAACTCCTATTAATAATAAAAAGAACCTCTTAAATTAGAAATGTACATGTGTATCTTCCAATTTGCAAGCAACACAACACGTCTTTACTAAACTGTACCCTGGAATAGGCGGGGGGCATTGTTAGCCCAGTTTTACACAGAAGGAAATGAGAATCTGGAAGGTTTAGGTGACTTCGCTGGGGCCACTTCGCTGGAACTAGACTCTGGGCCTCTGACCACTGACCAGCCTTTGACTCCCTGAGAAGAGCAGGGTGCATTTTTATGGAGGAGGTGGACAAAGTCTCAAAAGCAAGGACCCTAGATCTGACACCCGGGCTTCTGTCGTGTAGCTGGGAGTGTCTGGGTGGGAACTGGGCCAGAGAAATCGTGACATGCCCCACCTCCGCCCAGAGGCCTTGCCTGTCCAGCCGTCCAGCCGCTGTGCTGCAGGCTGCTGACGCTTGCTCTTCTGTTTGCCTGGCATGTGAGGAGTGTGGGAGAAAGCCCTCTGCTAATCAGCCAAAATGCAAAAGGCTTTCAAATCGTTGGCGTCTCTCTGACTTTGCATTTTTACAATTTCCATTTCATAACGAAAATGCACGCTGGGGTCATGCTTGAAAGCTTCTTCCAATCAGCTGCTCTTTTGAGGGCCTGTCTGCCCACATTTAAGTGAAACTATCAGTCATCACCATAGGTCAAATGAGATTTCTAAAGTTTTTGTCAATGCCTGAAACATTTCTGCAGGAGAAGTTATAAAACAAATGTATGAAATAAGACTAAGCTTTAAATCTTTTTTCCGTACCTTTTCCCTCCCAGGGTTCCCCGAATATCTATGACCACGAAGTCACTATAGAAGCTGATGCTTTTTTGCCTGTGGATGAAACCCTGATTCCTACAGGTTGGTGAATTTTAACTTTTTATAGGAATGTGGAGCTGGGGTTCAATTTGAGAAACATCAAAACTTCATTTGCCTAAATTTATTTTCCCTGTTGCCTTACCAAAAGGCCCCTAGTTACCATGATTCATCATTTGTTTTGGTTAAGGTTGGATGAACATATAATTAAACACCCCAACAAGGACCCTTTTGAGAGGGAAAGAGGATGTTATTATTAAGCCAGGGCAACAGGCATAAACTGGCACAGTCCCAAATACACTGGGTCCTCTGGTCATCGTAGCTGAGCCTTAGGTTCCAGAAGTTCTTTACTAAAATGTAAATCTGTTCATTGTTAGCACCTTGGCAGAGATAAATTTACCTGAACGTTACCTCACAAATGCAGGGCACTGATAGAACGACACATGGCTTTTGATAGAAGAGGGAAGGGTAAAATGAGTTGCACCCTGTGCAAGACAAACGCAGGCAAGTCACCTTTGGACACAGTTTGGGGGATGGGATGGCACGGGGAAAGCAAGGTATCAAAGGGGGAAGTGAGGTGCTGCCAAAATCAAACTTCATGGGTGCGTGTGTGCGCGCGTGTGCATGTGTGTGTGATCTTCCGTTAGCTAGACTCAGATTATCTTGGTTACTATTATTTGGAATGAAAAGTACTTTGGTTCAAACAGGCAAATCCGTAGAGATAGAAAGTAGATTAGTGAGTTGCCAGGGGCTAGGGGCAGAGGGAAATGGGGAGTAACAATGGGTACGAAATTTCTTTTTGGGATGATGAGAATATTCTGAAATAGATAATGGTGATGGTTACACAACCTTGTAAACACACCAAACACCACTGAACTGTACACTGTGAATTTGGTAGAATGTGAGTTACATCTCAATTTGGAACAAGAAAGAAAGAACGCGTTATCTTGGTTTGTGTGTTATCTGCAGGACTGAGTGGTGTAATTCTGTGCTGGCTCGTGAGTGTGCCCCCTTCTTCCTCCAGTGTCAGGTGGAGGGACGAGCAGATGGCCGCTGTTATCTGTGGCAGCTTATGGGAATTAACTTAATTACCCCAATATTCTTACTGGGATTTCATTAAAATCAGAGATCAGGTGAATGTAGAGGGCATAGTCTCAGAAAACTAAAGTAAACAGAAGTAGAGAATGAGGGGAAGAGCAGAAATCCAGAAAGACATAAACACTTCCTCACCAGCTCCTCTTCCCCTGGGAAGAATGGCTGCCCTCATGTGACCCCCTTGGCTGACCCAGGTCCCCTGCCTGTGTCTGACAGCAAATTCTCAGAGGTATTACCTCGTGGCTCCTTTGTCAGATTGCTGACGCCCTGTGTTCCGTTCTCTCAGGCAACTCGTCAGGGTAACTGCCCTTGATAAGCCTATCAGCCAGCAGCTACCTGTGGAAGGTCAGGAAAGCCTTTCCCTTCCATCCCACCTCACGTAAGGGTGCTGTTACTTCAGCTGTCATCTCTGCTCATATGCTTAGCATGACAGCATATGAGCAATTAGAAGTCAAGGACACCATCTTAACCAAGTAAATAGGGTTTACATCACCAGTGACAAGACGTTTGGACATTATCCTCCCCGTCATGTGATTCACTGAAAAAGTACATCACTTACGTGGTGTTTTGCCAGAAATGCATAAGCTCAATCCAGTCAGGAGAAACTATCCCATGAACCCAACTGAGGGGCAGTCTACAAAATAATCAACCAGTACTCTGCAATAGTAGCAAGATCATGAAAGTTAAAGACTAAAGAACAGTTACAGAGGAGATCAAGGAGATACAACAACAAAATGCAGTGTGGGATCCTAGACTGGATCACAAGGCAGAAAAAGGGCAACAGTGGGAACTCAGGAGAGATTCTAGCAATGTCTGTGGTTTAATTAATAGTGTAGTTCCCATGTCAAATTTCTTAGTTGTGATCATTGTACCATAGCCATGTAACATATTAACATTAGAGAAAGGTGGGTGTAGGATACACACACATATTTTTTTAACCTTTCTGTAAGTCTAAAATTATTTAAAAAAAAAAAACAACAACAAAGTCCAGGGCACCAAATAAGATGTTACTTTAAGTTAAATAGGTATCTGCCTTACTTTAGGGAAGCACTTTTGTTTCATTTTGACCTCTTTAAAATAATGGGATTGTGTTTATGGTTGCTAGATCAAAATGTTTAGGAGGCAAAAAGTAAGAATGTGAGCCTGCATACTAAACAGCAACTTCAGTTAACCGCAGGAATTAGAAACTTCCCTAAATTCAGTGACTCTGAAACTAATTAAAATAAGAAAGAGAAATCAAGATAAATGGATTCCAATTTTTGGCATCACAGTGTTGAATGTTTTCCTGGCTTCAGGACTGGATTTAGAGGCTTTTTTATTTGTCTTGGTGACCTGTCATTTTTTTTTTTTGATACTGACATGGCTCAGTAGATGGGGATGGGTAAGCTAGCCCATCTTGTCCTAGCTGCAGAATTAATGCATTCAAACTGTACGTTGTGAACGGCAAGGAAAAGATAGTGGTGGCAGTCATTCTGTGATTGATAAGGAAGAAAATGAACTAAATAGCTTATAAGTGGAGGTGATAAACTAAGTGCATGTTTATTCTTATATATTTATAAAATCTATGCTATCCTGTTGAGTTTTGATCAGACAGAAATCACAAAAAATGCATAATGCTACATAAAGGTTATTTGTCATGACTGTAGAAGATAATCGTGGCAAAGCACAGTGGGGTTTGACCTGCCATCTAGCAGCCTGTGTAGAATCGTGCTCATCTCAGTTTTGCACTGAAAGTGGTTTCGGGATCAAATTCTATACTCCACTAGCAGTGAACACCTATGAAGTTGAGTAGGATGTAAGAGCTCCAGACTCTGGGAGACAAGAGCCCTGGTTCTAGTTTTGGCTTTGCTGTTAACGGAGTAGAAGGCCTTCAGTGTAGGTGTAATGCTTTCACATTTAACCTCTCTATACTCTCATTTTCTTTTCTGCAAATAGGAGGTATGTTGAACTCAATCCAATTTGTGGACCAGGAAATTTTCTTTAAAAAACAATCTTGGCCCTGGCCAGGTAGCTCATTTGGCTGGAGCGTTGTCCCGCTGTGCTAAAGGTTGTCGATCCCCACTCCCCCCCCCCCCGCCCCCGCCCCCGCCCCGTTAGGGCATAAACCAGAGTCAACCAGTGGGCGCATGGCTGAGTGGAGCAGGAACCTGGATGTTGGTCTGTCTGCCTGTCTCTCTCTCTCTCTTCCTTGTTCTCTCTAAAACCAATAAATAAAAAAAACTAAAAAAAGAACACAATTTGGGAGACTTAACGGGGCTTGCCCAACTTTTCATTTTGTCAAGTTAGAAAGCTATCATAGATATAGGACTATTAAAACTAATTAGAATGTACATATGTTATATTTTAAAAGCTAACTGGGGTAATAATGAGGAACAGAGATATACTACATTGATTTCTTTAAATTCCAAACTGCTCTTTATAATCACTATCTTTTCATAAAAGAAGGAATATTTTAATATCACAAAAGTGGGGAAATACTCATCTTAGACTAAAGAACAATCCTTTAAATTCACTTCATCTTGTTTTTTTAAGGAAATGTGATAGATCATCCAAATATATCTCAGTTTTCTGTGGATCAATGAAAATTTTATCATGGACTCATGATTGAGAATGAATAATCTGTAGGGTCACTTATAGCTCTTACATTCTGTGATGCTATGAAGCTCCTAGTAGAACATTTTACTGCTGTTGCCCCACCCTTCACTTCCATTCGTACTCCACCGTGAAAGTCAATGAGAGTCCGAAGTGAGAGATCAGCACTAAACTTTGGTCTCCTTGTATATGAATGGCTTTTACTCGGTAAATCAGCAGCTATGCTCACCATCCCCATCCTCTGCTTTCTACCCCAAATCCTTGTTTGTGTGTGTGTTTGTTTTTTAAATCTGTCTTCCTAAGATGATAAAAATCCTCATTATTTTTACTTGGAGCTCCTACAGAGAAAAGTCTCTTACCATTATTCCAAAAGAGAAGCCAAGAACCCCTATACAGCCCCCCAGTATCACAAGAGCCAATAGTAGCTAACCACGTCTGAAAAAGCAGCTCCTGCGAGAGCATTGTGGTGGATTTGGAGGAAGTGCAGGGCCACATTTTAACCCTGAGGCCTTTCGTCAACTCATTCCTTGAATTCTGTGTGGGCTTGTTCCAAATGCTTAATCTGATAAATTGCACTGTCTTAGCTTCATTTGTTAGCCTTCTATGGACTTTCAGCCAACTCTCCTAGTCTGGCTTCTAAGCTTGTGCGACAAAGATGTTGAATAGTCCCAGGCTCCTGTCTTTTGTGGCTATTAATTTATACTTATAGTTGCTTTCACATCCTTTTTTGTATTTGCTCTTCAGAAAAGCTGTAACCTTAGTAGTTCTTGAGGATAATGCTGATGCAGATCTAAACTTCCGGGGTTGTTTTTTGCCTTGGTTACAGACACTTGGTAAATAATTTTTCAGGTGATGGGAAAACCCATTGTCAGGGGAAGGTAGCACCCCCTGATTTTACAGTACATGGCATTCTGTGGCCCTGGTACTCAGTGAAAAGGGACCTTCCCCAGAGTGTGTTTGGGGGAAGGATGAAGTCCTGGCCTCCATTGCATTTGTCATCAGCTCACTAATTGGCTGTTATCACAGAGAAAGGAACGGGATACGTTGGCATATGGTTTCAAGAGCCGAAGCAGGCACAGGGGATGAAATCCCCTTCTCTTAAACTTACAGCTCCATCTGGACCTTTCCCCGACGCAGGGCCCACAGGCCGCTGACAGCCTTGAGCACCTGCTTTGCCCTCCCTTTTCCTGTTGGCAGTGTTTGGGGGGCAGGTGATATAGGGAAGACAAAACAGCCTGTGCTGCATGGCTTCTTCTTTCGTCCCCTTTCTCTGCTCTGCCAATTATTGAAAGGCTGCGCTTTCCCCAGGTCCCGTGGAAATGCCTCAGTCAGTGTGGAGGTATCAGAAGCTTTCAAAGAGGCCCATTCAAGTAATTGAGGGTCACCCTCATTTTCCCCATCAGGCATTTCTGCCATTTTGTCAGCCCCAGAGGCTTCCTAACACAGGCAAACAATATCCCCTGTGTTTTCTTAGGCTGGAAGACTCCAGCATCTTTTCTTTTTTTCTAGAAAGAAAGAAAGAACTTGAACAAAAGAGTAGAATCCATCAGCTAGGTTCCGAAGCTACCGCTCTGGATGAAATTCTGGGCACTCTGGAGTGCAGTGGTGTTTTGAGCACAAGGTCCTTAGTCATTGGGCCCCTCGGTTGTGCCACAGCCACACTGGCCGAGGCCTCTGCAAAGCTGAGGGCTTGTTTCACCCGCAAACCAGGAGCAAAGTTTGCAGCTGAGCTGTCAGGCTGGGTTTGCATGTCACCAGTTAGTTTAGCTATGCTTCTTCCAAGCAATTGTTTTCCTTACCTAAAAAAAAAAAAAAAAAAAATCACAGACCGTAAAGGACTTGCTAATAATACTTAGGATGGGCATATACACTCTGTTAACAGGGCCCCTTCTGGTCTGCTTGCATGCGCGCATGCGTGCGTGTGTGTGTGTGTGTGTGTGTGTGTGTGTGTGTGTTGTTGTTGTTGTTGTTGTTGTTGCCAGGGCTGTCTCTGTGGTTTCCCTGAAGTGGAACTCCTGGAAACCATTTTCCAGGAGGGACAGGTATATAAGGAATGTCTCCAGAGAGAGAGCCCTCCAGGGCCAGATCTCTGCTGCCATCTTAGCAATTTAGCTTCGGGACCTGAGTCTAGTGTCCTGCCTGTGGCAACAAGGGACAGCGTGGTGCCCTGCTCAGGTACTAAGCCAGTTAAATGCGAGCAGATGAGAAAATGCAATCCTCTATTTCTCCAGGGACAAATTCACTCGCAGGGTTGTAAATATTACATTTCACCCTTTCGCTGTACACAACTGTGAGACTTGGAGGCAATGTGGGCAACATCCCAGCAAGACATTATGATATAGACAACACAGTATAGAATTAAGCTTGTGTCCTCAAGGCATTTACAGCACATAGCTTTTGGAAATTTTTTTTTTTAATTTTCTGCATTTTATTTGCCGACAAGGAAGTAAGCAAGCAAAAAAAGAATGCTTTTACTAGGTCCTTTGAATCTTAAAGTAACACTAGAAAAATCCTGTCTTATTCTTGAGAAAAAAGACACCTTTTATTTTTATAAAAAATTAACCCCGCCCACTCTTTCCCCCAGCCCATCTGTGAGCACTTGCTATTCTCGCAGCACTCCGTTTTTGAAAGTTCATTCTATAATTACATGAAAGCAACCCTATTTTGACAGAATTAGAATTCTGGTAGGAAAGGCTTACCACAAGCT